TTGAGCCTGAGGCTTTGTGAATCATATGTAACTCACACATCTCTTTAACTTGGCAGCAGTGAGAACTGTTTTTCAAGTTGCATATAATTCATGCACAGAAAACAATAAAAAATAACAAATGTTTTATTAAATTATAAAGGATCATTTTGTTTTCAAAGTTTGTATTCTATTTTCCTAATAAAATACTGTCCCCAAGTAAAAAGTTTTTTCCTGTGTGACAGTCAACATCATTCATTTCACTAATCCAAAGCTTTAGTCACCAAATATTTTGTTGCTGTTATTATTTTGAATAAGCTTTTATCTGTTAGATTGACTAAGAATAAGAAAAATAGAAGTTTTATTCTATCTTCAATTATTCCTCCTCTAACTCCCCTCTTTCCCTTATGTAGATCAGTGTTTCACTTACATCGTTTTCTTCTCTCTGAAATACTCTATTTAAATTATCTGCAAGAAGGAACTAAAGAAAATTGTCTCAATTTTATTTGTGTGTTTATGTCTCATTAGCTTAAAATGAATAATTTTTCTGGAAACAAAATCAATATGGGTGGCCTTGTTTTCAACATTTTAAATATTTTGCTTCATACTCTTCTTGTTTGCATGAATTCTGAAGAAAATTCTGATGTGATTCTTATTCTTTTTCTTTATAGCTGGAGTGTTTTCTTTCCTTAGTTTCTCTCAGTCTTTTTCTTTCTCTTTATTTTCTCATTTGAAAGTGATATGCTTTGGTGTTGACTTTTTGACACTTAATATGCTTGCAGTTCTTTGAAGTTTCTGGATATGAGGTTTGGTGTTTGACATTAATTTAGGGAAATTCTCAGTCATTATTGCTTCAAATATTGCTTTTGTAGACTGTTTTCAAATAAGCTTTTCTATTAAGCATAGTAAACATAGAGGAAAATACACATGTTCTAAATATGTAGTTTAGTGCATTAACATAAAATGAACACATACCTGTGTAACCTAGAAGCAAGTCATGAAAAAGAATTTTGCTAGGATACCAGGAGCCTACTTATGCCTCCTGCTTCCACTACTACCAACTCCTCCCCAACGGGATCCAGTGTCATGCCACAGGAGAGGTTGGTTGGTTTGTGAACTTCATATAAATGAAATCATCCATTAATATGTATACACTGTCTAATTTTTTTCATGGAATATTACCTTAATGACATTCATTCATGCTTTTGCAAATAGCAGCAGTTAAGTTATGCTTTATAGTGTTTTGCTTTATATTATTTTACAATTTATTTTTTCCTTTGTATTGCTATAAACATTGGTGTCGCTTCCAGTATGGTGCTATTTTGAATAGTGCTATTATGCACATACATATATATGATTTGGTGTCCAGATGTATTGCATTTCTGCTCAGTACCCACCTACAAGTGGAATTGCTAGATATACATATGATCACTTTAAGTAAATTCTAAAAGAATTGTCCAAATGGTTGAACCAATTTACAATTTTACTATGAGAGTAACAGTTGCTTCACTTTCTTATCAATACATAGTGTGATATGACTTTTTTAAGTTTTAACCATTCTGGTATATAATATAATAATATCTTACTGAAGTCTTAATTTGAATTTTATAAGGCTTAATGATACTGAGGACTTTAGATGTCCGGTGGCAATATTTATTCATCATGCATGAAAGGTTAGTTTATTTTTTATATATAAATCCACAGTGCCTTCATTTTTCTTTAGCTATCACAGATATATAGGAAAGTTGCTAGTATAAACAAACACTTGCTTTTCTTTGACTTATTTGAAAGTAAATTGGTGGCCTGAGTTCCCCCAAATAAGGTGATTCTCTTATATGGACAGAGTAAAACCATGAAAATCAAGAAATTAATGTTACTAAATTGGGACTTTCTAATTCTCATTTCCATTGGCGTTTCACCAATAAGTGCCAAAAATATGAGCTATGTAACATTCAGAATTGAGATCAGAATCCAGAATCTCATGATGCAACTAGTTGTCATGTCTCTTTAGTCAACTTAAATCTGGAACTGTTCTTCAGTTGACACTTCACCTGTATAACATTGATATGCTTTCAGAGTATAGGCTTAATATTCATAAAATGTTGCTTATTGAAGCTTGTCTGATGTTTCCTAATGATTAAATTCAGTGTATGCATCTTTGGCAGGGATATCATTGAATGACACTTTTTCTTTTCATTTTTGGATGATAATTTAATTGTGTTTCATTATGAATGATGTTCATTTGATTACCAGATTTGAATATTGTCTTCCTGTCTCCTCCACTGTAAAGTAATTCTTTTCATTACATAATTTAGAAGTTTCTTGTGGGGAAAGTCTTTGAAATACTGTAATTATTTATTCCTCATCAATTTTCCAGTTATTCATACATTTATTAATATCAGTAAGTAATCATGAATTCAATTGTTTGTTTTTGAAGGGTTATAATGCACTATTATCCTTTATTTTGAACTCAGGTGTCTCCTAAATGTCGGGATTCTGTGTCCTTTTCCATGACCAATTCAATCCTTAAGACTTTTAAAATTTTTGACAGCAATGTATTCTCAGTTTATCTTGTATTTTCCCTAACTCAGATCTCCAATCTGCCATTTCTCTGAGGACTCCACCATTTCTGTGAAGACCCCTGAAACTTTTTATCTGAAAATGTGGTTTAGAATCAAGATCTGTGTATTAGTCATGCTCATTGCTAGGAGAGTATCACAGGGCCCCATCTCAAAGAATAGAACTAAAGAACATATGCATTGTAGCTATAATATGCATCTTGATGAGAAAGAAAATGAAATGATTGGACTTTAACACCACAAAGAAATGGATTGTCTTTAGTTATTACCTATCAAGGCAAATCATGACTTGCAGCAAAAGGTAAGAATTTCCATAGCAAATGACATGATCAGCTATAAAATTGAAGAACTGGAGACCAGTAGAAAGGGAATCAAAGATCTAGAGGAAATGCTGGAAAAAAACATTTCTTCTTCTCAGAGGCAGATTTTGTTCCTGGAAATAAAAGCCCATGATCATTGGTTGAGAGCCTAAAAGAAACTTCATTGTCTACAGAGAAAAGCTTATTGACATGAGACTAAGAATCTCCCAGTTTACAATTAAAATTCCACTCCCAGATATAAATCCTCAGGCAGGTGATGGTCCCTATGGAGCATTTGGCAGGGAGCCTTTGCCCCCTGATCTCCATGCATGGTGTATTGCTTCCCTTGACACAGGAGAGTTCCCCCCCCCCTCTCCTCAGACAGCCCCCTTGGCAGCCAGGCTGGCCTCCACATTCACTTCCCAATCTCAAGTTTCCCCTAGATCCAAAACAGTTGTTCTTTTAGAAAAAAGGAGGCTCTTCCTTTCCCCACACCCTAAATTTGAGTCCTTGCTTTAACAATTCAGTCCACTCACTCTAAATACGATATTTTCCAAAAGCTGTGCAGCCACACTAATCATTTGAAATATCAGAATTCTTTCCTCTTTTAATGTTTTCTGAACCACTGTGCTAAGAGAAAGAAGATATTTCTGGGACTTGATAAATGTCAGCTAATTTAAAGAATACATTCATGCTGGGTGTTAAGTGGTAAAGAATTTTGTAGAATAAAGATAATGCTCACAGGGAAATTTATAGCATTGAATGCATTTAAAAATGATTCCTTCTCATGAAAAGGATAAAGATATAGAATCAAAAATCTAAGCATCTACATTAGGAATTAGAAAACGAAGAGCTAATTAATTCCAAAGTAGGCAGAAGAAAAAATAATCATAAAAATTAGAAGAAAAATCAATGGAATTAGAAACAGGACATTAGAAAAATATTCAAGACTGTCTGGTTCCTATACTTTTGCTAACACATTAAAAAATTTTTATTTGCTACTCAAGCATGTTTAAAGGAGTGAAATGTAGTTTTAATTTGTACTTTTTCTTTTTAACCCATTTATATGATTAATAGCCATTTCCATTTTCTCTTTTGGAATCTGTTCAGTCAAATCATTTGCCCATGTTTCTATTACCTTGGAAGTTTATCTGACATACAGTTTAATAAAAAACAGCAAGGACATGATAATATATGAAATATGAACCCAATATTTTAAAGAACCACTTTTAATCTCACATGTATATGTGTGTATACAACATATATTATGTGTGAACATATTCCTATGCACACGCATATGTATAGATATATATGCGAATCTATACATGTGTGTTATCTTACAAACGCATGCCAAGTAAAACGGCTTATTCTAGGAAATGAGCTTGGAATAGGTTAATGGGTGATATAACATCTCATTTCATACCTTCAAGACAAAAGGAAGGGAAAATGAAGTCTAGATTTTGTTATATAAGATGTTCAATTGTCTGTGCTTTAGAGATGGCATGAAGCTAATGATTTTGGAGGCATAGCATCAAATTACCATCACATTTATATTAAGTATGAAACAATGTAATGGAAAGCAGAAAAATAACAGAATCTGGTGAGGCTTTCCAGAGATTTTTGTTCTTGTTTGAGGAGAGAAGAATAGCACTCATATGGCATATGTTCAATAACAATATGAATAGCAATATGAAGGCATAGATTCATACTTGACTCTAAGTTGGAAATATGCAGTGAGAAAACTATTCCAGCTCTTTATTTTGTATTTACAGTAACACCCAAGCAGGGACATGAATTCTAACACTTAGTGTCTTTTCCTACCTGTTGCTTATCCTGTTAATATTTCCCTACAGGTTGCAGCTGCTCCTGGACAGTTTCTCTCTTTTGTTTTCAAAACTCCAGTAACTCGAGGTGACACTCAATCATGAGAGCTTCCCTACCTTCTCCCCTTTTGTCTTCCTCTGTGCTTATCATTCTGAGACCAGCATGGCCCCTTAGGACACTATTTTCTTTAATTTCTTACTTGCACTATGCACAAAAGATGAAATGTCTGCAATCTGACCCAGAAACTGATAATGCTTTTTATTTAGAACATGCAGAGGAGAAATGGGTCTGAATTATCATATACACTAATCATGTTGCTCTGTTTTATGGTGATCTCATATTAATGACTCAGCACTACTTAAGTATAAGCATATGTGGTGGTCAATACCAGTTTTACAGAGTGCAGAGAAGTGCTTTGACCTGGGAAACTCTCCTTAATGGAGTTGGAGTGTTCACTGGATCTTGGGGAAATGTGATGGAAGTCAGAGAGTGTCAAAGAAGGCATCCTTAATACTGGGAATGAAGTGATGATGCCCAGATAAGGGAGGGTTGCAGCAGCAGACAGTCTGCCCTTCCTCAGACAGGTATGTAGCCAAGTTGGTATGAGGGCAGAGTATGGCCAAAGCTATTGGCAACTGGGGTGATGTTGATACTTTGGGTCAGCCAGATATTTCAGGGTGAATTTTTGTAAATGGAGATCAGGAATAAAAACAGCTCCAGGTGGCCAGATCCTCTCCAACACAAATCCATTTTCCTGAAGAAAAAAAGAGAGAGAGAGTTTGTACCTGAGAGGAAAACTAATAGCAATTAACGCTCACATCCAAAAAACAGAAAGCTTAGATACTGACAACCTAATGAATAAGCTCAGGAATGGAACAGAACGAGCAAACAATTTCCAATCCTAATAGAAAAAGAAAACCAAAGATCAAAGCAGAACTGAATGAAATGGAGAACAAGAGAACTATACAAAAATCACCAAAACCAGAAGCTTTTTTTTGAAAAGATAAAAATCGATGGCCCTCTCGCTAGATTGACAAGGGACCCAAAGGGAAAGGACTGTAATAAACCATAAGAAATGAAAAAGGAGAGATCACACACGATACCAAAAATACAAACATTATATTTGACTATTATAAAAAACTATATGCCAAAAACTACAGAACAAAATGAAATGGACAAATTCTTGGATTTCACAATCTCCCTAAGATCACGTAGGAAGGCAACGAATTCTAAACAGACCAATCTCAAGCTCAATTGAAGCAGTGATTAAAACGCTGCCCAAAGGGAAAAGTCCTGGGCCAGAGGCTACATACTTCAGGGTTCACCCAAACATACAAAGATGAACTCATATATACTACAGAAACTATTCCCACCATTGAATGGTATCCTTCCTAACTCATTCAGTGAAGCATATCCATTGAACCAAAGCCAGGAAAAGACACAACAAAAAAGAAAAATTACACCAACTATCCCTCATGAATACAGATGCAAAAATCCTAAATTAAACATTTTAGTGAATAGAATTCAGCAGCACACTCAAAAAAATAATTCACGCATGGACCAGCGTGCGGCTTTTTATTCGCAGAGATGCAAGGAATGGTTCTCAACCATACAGACAAGTTCTATACATCAATTCACTTCATACAACTAAATCAAGAACAAAGGGACAATGATTGCTGTCAACTAGATGCAGAAAAAGCATTTGAACAGTCCAACACACCATTTATGGGGGCAGGTAAAACTCTGTAACAAAATCCATGGCATTGATGGCTGCATATCTTAAACTTACCAAACCATCTATGAGAAACCCACTGCTAATATCAATTCTAAATGGAAAAAATTGAATCTGTTCCCCTCCGATCTGGAGCATAGACACAAGGGTGCCCTATCTCCTCTCCCTATTCAACATATGCTGCTACCAAGCCTTAGTGATAGCCATCTCAGGCAGAGACGGTGTATTATAACGAGGGCTTCAACGGTGGGGGCAAATGAAATCAACTCTCACCTCCCTTTGCGAATGATACTGATATATATACCGTAGGAAGACCAGCCATGGACTCTTCCAGAGACTGCCTAGACATTGATAACCCGAATTTGGTAAAGTTTCAGGTTATAAATCCAATAGTTCACACACAATTAGAACGTTTATATATGCCAAGCAAAAAAAACCATTCAAGCAGCGAAACTCAAATCAAAAATGCAAACCCCTTTATTTACGCCCCCAAAGAAAATTAAATATCTAGGAGTATACCTAAAATGAAAGATACAAAGATTATACAGGAAACTACAAAACACTAAAAAATAAATTGCAGAAGATTTAAACAGATGAAAATCCTACCTTGTTCATGGATTCGTAGAATCAATACAGTTTAAAATGTCAACTATTACCCTAAGTGATACCAGAATCAACCAATCCCCACGATCAAATGCTATCCAGGCATTGCCTTTACAGATCTAGAAAAAATAATTCATTCACTTCTAGGAACCAGAAAAAAACTCATATAGCCAAAGCAATGCTAAATTAAAAGAAAACTGGAAGGCATCCAGTACCTTCTGACCTCCAAGCCTGTACTATAAAGGCGATAATACGTTATCAGCCGGTACTGCCACAAGATAACCAGAAGCATAGATATCTGGAATAGATCCGAGATACCACAGGATGAAAACCATCAGTCCTACCGAGTAATCTAATCTTTGATAAAGCTGACAAAAATATCACACATTGGGGAAAGATTTCTTCAATAAATGGTGCTGGGAAACACTTGGTTAGCTACATCAGAAGAGCAAGATCAGGATCCCTACCTCCTAACAAAAATTCACTCCAATGTAGGATAACAGAGCTTAAACTTAAGGCAGATGAATAAGAATTCCTAGAGGAAAGAATGTTGTAAAACCCTATGCAGCAATCGGCCTAGTCAAAGAATTTGAGGACAGACCCCCAAGGCAATCCACTGCAGCCATACGAACAAATACAACAAATTGGGATCTGATCAAATTAAAAGACGTTTCTGCACAGCCAAGGAACACCATCCAGTAGACAAATACGACGAACCACAGAGTGGGAGAAAATTATTTGCCTCTCTACACGTCTGATTAAAGGCCCCTATACAAAATCTATCTAAGAACTTAAAAGAAATAAACAAAGAAAAAAATCAAACCAATCCATCAAAACAGGAAGATTGGCGATGGAAATGGAACAGAAATTTATCCAAAGAAAGACATAATAATGCCATGCAAACCATATAAAAGAATGAAGTTCTAACTTTCCGTAATTATTAAGAGAAATGCAAATCAACCAGCCAACAAATAAGAATACCACCCTAACCCGCAAGTAAGAACTGGCCTAAGCATTACAAAAAATCCCAAAACAAAACAAATGCTGGGGCAAGGATGGGAGAGACAGGACTACTCCTACACTGGCTGGTGGGACTGCAAAATTAAAAGATGCAACCTTTCGTGGAAAAGAACTTTGCAGATACCTTTCAAAAAGCTAAGAAACTAGAAATACCATTCGCGCTGCGCGAATAGCATTATTGGGGCCCATCCGTACCAAAAGACATAAGACATTCTACTATAGAAGACCATGCGAGGCCGGGCGCCGCGGTGGCGTCACCCCTGTAATCTAGCACTGTTGGGAGGCGAGGTGGCGCGGCATCTGCCAAGGCAGGTAAGTTTCGAAACCGCAGCCTGAGCGAACGACGCAACCGTCTCCTACCCAAAATAAGAAAGATATTAGAATTGACCAACCTAAAAATAGATATCACAAGAAGAAATTGGCCGAGCATGCGGTGGCACAAATGCCGTAGTCCCAGAGCTACCTCGGAGGACTGAGGCCAGAGGATCGCGGCTTGAGCCCAGGAGACTTGAGGTTCTGTGAGCAGGCTGACGCCAATGGCACCTCACCTCTACCCGCCTGGGCAACAAGAATGCAGACTCCTGTCTGCAAAAAAAAAAAAATAAAAAAAAATTAAAGACACTCTGCAACCCGAATGTTATAGGCAGCAGCAATGTACTATTGCAAAGCACGATCATCCGGAGCAACAACCCAAGTGCCATCAATTCACGAGTGGATATTAAAATTGGTATCACACATGCTCCACGCAATGGAATAATTACCTCATCCTAAAACACTGACTGTGGAAGCTAGCCCATATTCACTGCTGATCGCTGCGATAAGCTTAAGCCCGTTATCCAAAGTGAGGTGACACAAGACATGGAAAATGGGGGGCAGGGGCAATATTTGTAACCCTAACAATATTTGTACTTCCTATAATATGATGAAATAAAAGAAAAATATTTAAGCAAAAAAAAAGAGAGAGAGAGAGTTTGTTCCTAAAATATGAGGTTGTGAACTGTCACAGAAAGTATGCAATAACTATTTGATGAATGAAAGAAGAGATGGATGGATTGAAGATAGGATGACTGGAAGGATGGCAAGACACACCAAAGGACAACATTAACAAACATACTATTCACTTACTGTCTTTTTTACCAGGTGACCCTCATTCAATAAATTTTTATGGAGTAACAGCTCTATGCCCCACACTTCATTAAGTATTATCATTAAGTAGTATCACCATATAAGCAGAAGCAAAGACAAAGATCCTATGATCCTCTAAATAGACTCAGAGAAAGCATTTGACAAAATTCAACACCCTTTTATGATAAGAACGCTCAACACAATAGGCATAGACGGGGCTTACCTAAAAATGATACAAGCTATATATGACAAACCCACAGCCAATATCATACTGAATGGGGAAAAATTGAAAGCACTCCCACTTAGAACTGGAGCAAGACAAGGTTGCCCACTATCTCCACTTCTGTTCAACATAGTGCTGGAAGTCCTCGCTACAGCAATCAGACAAGAGAGCAGAATTAAGGGCGTCCAAATGGGAACAGAAGAGATAAAACTCTCACTCTTTGCTGATGACATGATATTATACCTAGAAAACCCCAAGGATTCAATGAAGAGACT